GTTTTCTTGTAGTATTATATTAATCAAAATTAATTGTCACTCGTCACAAGTTATATGAATTTAAACAAAAACAAAAAAAACCTGAAAATACAATGATCGACAGGAAAAAAGTAACTTGCTATAGATAAAATATTCCTAAACTTTGTTGCTTAAGTAGCTACTCCTAATTGATAGAACCTACTCCTAATAATCACGATGTGTGAATTCTGTTGGATATTCTTTTCTTTTTTTAATCTCTCTTAGCTTATTTATAGGCTTAGAGAGAGAGAGAAGAGTAATCTAAACTCATGATTTTCTCAACAAGACATGATTTCCTTAACATCATCCATATTTCATGTTTGACCACCCACCTAATTCCTTTTTCGAAGAACTGTTCGTAGATCATGCACTTTGACCTGGCTTTGAGACAACATGATATAAATTTGAAAACAAATGAAAATTTGACCTAGTTATTTCTAGAATAAGCTTCCACGACGTACAATCGTAATCTATCGCTACACATGCTCAACTTTACTATAAATCAAATCTAGTCAATTACATTCAAGCAATTCAAAACTAACTACATCTTACATTCTCAATGAATACTTCAATTGCAGCTGTAGTTGGACCAGGATTTGTGGCAATAAACATAACCATTCAAAACACAGCAGGAGCAATAAAGCAGCAAGCAGTGGCACTTTTAAACAATGCTGATTTGTCCACCTTCTACAACTGCAGCATTGAAGGCTACCAAGACACCTTGTTAACCCATTCTATGAGGCAATTCTACAGCCACTGCGATATCTACGGCACGGTGGATTTCATATTTGGAAATGCAGCCGTTGTTTTCCAAAATTGCAATGTGTATCCGCGGCTTCCCATGCAAGGCCAGTTTAATGCAATCACCGCACAAGGCAGGACAGATATAAACCAAAATACCGGTACTTCAATACAAAATTGTACCATTATAGCTGCCCCTGACTTGGCAGCGGACAATGGCAAAACACAAACATACTTGGGCAGGCCATGGCAGTTGTACTCGAGAACTGTTTATATGCAATCCTTCATGGATAGCTTGATTAATCCAGCTGGTTGGGCTGTGTGGTCCGGGTCTTTTGCATTGGACACATTGTATTATGCAGAATACAACAATAGAGGACCGGGGTCGAGTACTACTAACAGGGTTACTTGGCCTGGTTACCATGTGATAAGCGCAACGGATGCGGTTAACTTCACTGTCTCCAACTTCATATCAGGAGATGACTGGTTGCCTGCAACTGGAGTCCTTTACACTAGTGGTTTAATGTGAACATAGAAACTTGAAATGTCTTCTCTCTGTTAATTTGTATTTAAAATTTGATGTTGAATGTCTTTATTTCTTTCAAAATTATTATAAAATTGTGTCTATTTATTTAATAATTGGATGGGGAATTCCAAATACTAGTAGTATTGTTGGGGAATCACACACCGACAATCCCAAATAAAAAAATGAAAAAAATAAATAAATAAGGATGAATCTTAGTTGGTTCATTCCCAAACAATCAACCATTGACATTCAACGGTCCGATTCATAAGAAATAAATTTAAGTTGTGTTTGAATCATGAATTTGATTAACGATTTAGAAAAAGAATGAGAAAAAATAAGACAAATGTAAATGAAATATAGACTATTTTTTCCCCTCCATTTTCAATTCATTTTCTAAATTTCTATTTAAATTTCTGATCTAAGCACAATGGTGAATATGATAATTTAGAAGTCTTAATCATTTTCTTACAGTGAAATTGCAATAATTTAGAAGTCTTAATCATTTTCTCACAATGAAATTACCTTTGAAAAGTTGTCAAAGTTCGCAAGATGCCTGCAGCGCTGCCAAAAGGTTGTCGGAGGCCACAATGGTGTCTAGTTGAGAACCAAAGAACCACTTTTATAGCGATCTAGATTTTTTCCCGACTTTCATTGTGTCCAGACTCGGGTTTAGTGGTCGTATGTTGTTGTTTGTATCTTGTTTACGTCATTTAATTCTTTGTATTTGAGTTTTGGGATGCGTTGGGCGAGTTTGGAACAGGTTGGTTGTGAGTTGGTGCAAGGGGTTACTATCCAGGTTTTGGTCTCTTCGCTCGAGTGGGGCTTCTTGCGCTCAAGCGATACTTGTTTAGTGTGTCTCTTCGCTCGAGCGAGCGTTTGTGCCCTCGAGCGTACATCTGTGTCTCTGTAAGACCTGATGATTAGTATTCTTTGTTCGAGCGAGCCTTCTTGCGCTCGAGCGAGCCCTATGTTATTGGTTCCTTTGCTCGAGCGTGCGTCAGCGTGAGTGGCAGACCTGAGGCTTCGCATTGTTCGCTCGAGAGACGCTTCTTGTACTCGAGCGAGGTGTTTGTTATGTTTGGTCGCTCGAGTGACAACTCCTTCGCTCGAGCGAGCCTCGCATATATCAGTTTGCAGCAGCGTGATTTTATCACTTTTTCATCTCCTTTTCACTCCAAACCCTAGATCCGGTTGTCTCTCCCTCTAAACTCCCTTTCTCTCTACAAATACTCCTTGATCTTGGGTTTCTCTACCCTAGTCCCTTTGTAAAAAAGCTAGAGCATAGCGAGGGCTTCCCTTTGATCCGAAAAAGTGTGGATTTGGAGCATCTTGAGTTTCTCCCTTCTTCTCTCCTTTGAGCTTCCCCATTTGAGGTAGGTATCTTCTACACTTGTTTATGATTTTTAACCTAGGTATTTGTTGTTATGAATATATGGTGAGATTTGGGATGTTTGGAGAAAACCTAGGGTTAGATTCTAGTTAGCATTGGCATGGCGCCGTATGAAGCGTTGTATGGAAGAAAGTGCAGGTCGCCGATATGTTGGACCGAGGTAGGAGACAAAGCTCTGCTTGGTCCCGAGTTAATTCAAGTAACAACCGAGAAGATTAAGCTTGTTCAGCAAAGAATCAAAACCGCACAAAGTCGACAGAAGAGTTATGCCGACCAAAAAAGAAGAGAGTTAGAATTTGAAGTCGGAGATCACGTATTCCTAAAGATTTCGCCGATGAAAGGAGTTACGAGATTTGAGAAGAAGGGTAAGTTAGCACCCCGTTACATCGGGCCTTTTGAAATCCTTGAGAAGATTAACCTCGCTGCCTACAGACTTGCTTTGCAGCCAGGATTGAGCCAAGTCCATAATGTATTTCATGTTTCGATGTTGAGGAAATATATTCAAGATCCGTTACATGTGATCGACTATTTCGGAATTATAATTAATGAAGATTTAGGCTACGAAGAGAAGCCGATACGGATTGTCGATAGGCAAGTGAAGCAGTTGAGAAACAAGTCGATACCAATGGTGAAAGTTGAATGGAATGAGCATTACGGGGAGGATGCTACATGGGAAATGGAAGAGGAAATGAAAGTTCGACATCCAGAATTGTTTTTGGAGCAAGGTAACTCAAGTTTGGGGACCAAACTTCTTTAAGGGGAGTAGGATGTAACAACCCTCATTTTGACTTAGTCATACTTGCATACATTTATGGATGATCTTGTTTTAATATGTGCATTTGCAAATCTTGTCTTATTTTTCTTGAATGATTGCTTGCACGCTTTGTTCTTGTCTGGTGTGTTGCCGAGGTCATCTTAAGCCTAGACACCTTCGAAACCTTTGTCACTTAGAACTATCTTGGAATCCCTTTAGTTGACCTCCATCTTCACTCTGGCGTATTGGTCGAGATGTCACAATCTAGGCCGAGGTGCTCATCGCCTAGGCCGAGATGTGCATCAACTAGGCTGAGATGTTAATGTTCTAGGCGTTCTAGATCCTTGATCCTTGCATTAGCGGTTTTGTTTCTGGAATGGTATGACCTAGACCGAGGTGTGGCACATCTAAGCCAAGGTGTGGCATAGTTTAGTCAAGTGTTGTCCTTCCAAGCCGATGTCCTTTCCCCTTGATTGCCGGAGTCTTGTTGTTAGCCGATGTCGTTACTTGCCGGTATGTTCTTGCCGCCTAGCTTGTTGAGTACACTTTGTCTTGGTCTTGTCTTGTCAAGTCAGTCACCTTTTTGAGTTGAGCGAATCAGCCGATGCCACGTGTCCCAACAGAGGGATTAAGTTAGTGATTGTCGTGGGAAACATATCATTTGTATCAAGTCTTGCCTTTTAGAGAGAGAAACTCAAGGAAGAAGAAGGAGAAGTTTAAGCTAGAGAGAGTGAACTTCTGATCGTTGGAGCTTAAACCGTTAGATTCGAGTTTTGAGGTTAGAATCGTAACCTATTCTTGTTGTTCTTATTGATCATCTAGCTGCATTACACAATCAAACCTGTTTCGCACGCCATTTATCGATTTAAAGATAGTTTTAGAAAGAGAAAATGGTTTTCATGTGTTTTTGAAGAAAAGCCTCGTTTGATCCGAAAGTTTGCATTAAAGCTCATGTTTTTGTGTTTGTTTTGATAAGATCCTTGAGTGTGGGTACCCAGGTCCATGTTTTTTAATTCATAGCATGAAGTCTCAGCTGTTGTAATAGCAAGTTTTGATCTTTGCATTCATCTTCCTCATGTTCATGTTCTTCAAATTCTTCATGCTCATGTTCTTCATGTTTATTAAGAGGGAAACTCAGATTTTTCCCGACTTTGCTTTTGAATGTGGCCATCGAGGCTACACCTCGGCAAGGAGGTGTGAGACCTCGGCCTAGACCTGGTAGTTGCCCAGCGTGTTTTTCCAAGGATAAGAAACTGCGTTTCGATTTGATTGACTTAGTTTTTGAAGAATGGCGAGGTCATTTGCATGTAAGCTAGACTTGTTTTGAGTAGTGCATTCAATAGACTTTGCCATGTGTTGTAGGACTTGGACTTGCCTTGACCCCGACGTTTGAAGAACTAGGTGAGTGGTATTTTTGATAAAGCTATGTTATCAATGTTTTGATGAGCTTTGCTTTGCTTTGTTTTTGAAAGATATTTGTAAAGCATGAATGATTGTCCTTAGTTTTGTATCTCGTATTATACTTGCTTGAATAACCTTCTTGGAAAGTCCCTTGTGCTGGAGGACTCTAAACTTTCGCAGCACATCTCGTTCGAAAGTCCCTTGTGCTGGAGGAATCTAAACTTTCGCAGCACCCCTCGTTTTGGAAGTCCCTTGTGCTGGAGGACTCTAAACTTTCGCTGTACATCTTGTCTCGAAAGTCCCTTGTGCTGGAGGACTCTAAACTTTCGCAGCACATCTTGTCTCGAAAGTCCCTTGTGTTGGAGGACTCTAAACTTTCGCAGCACTCTCGTGTTAAAAGGCTACGGGCCTTTGTGACATAGGTCCCTTGTGCTAGGGGACTCTAAACTTTTGTAGCACCCTTGTTTAAGATGCCTCTTGCTTTGTCTTGTTTTGCCACGGGCGGTTTACCGCGTGGATACGTTTGCCGAGATGTTATTATTTGTAATGTGTGATGCTAGTAAGTATCCCTTGAAGTTTTGAAGATCTGTTAGATGGACGGGGTCCATTCCTTGTTATATATAAAGTTTTTTCTTGTATTGTTTTGAAAGGACTTCGGCTATTATTCATGCAAACCCTTTATTATTTATACCATTCACTGAGTATCCAAGCTCACCCTCTCTATATATATGTAGGTGATGAGCAAGAAGGCGGTGACGTCTAGATGTAATTCTGGAGCTTATTTTGGATTTTGATTATGTCGGCTTAACCTATAATTACGTTGGCAGTCTTGAGAATCATGTTTCTCGATTTGTAATACTTGTATGTTGCATATGTCGGCTCAAGAAGCCTTTTGATCAAGATGTGTGTTTTGTATACTTGTTATGTCGGCAGTGAGGATGTCGGCAATCCTGAAGATTTTGCTTCTAGCTGTATTTCACGTATTTTGTTCATGTCGGCTTGTGAAGCCCTTTTGTTAATATGTAAGATGTAATTTGTACTTTGCTTCGGTTGTAATTGAGTTGTAAACCATCTGCAGATGATTGCTATTTCATTTAACTTATGCACAGCTCTTATGGACTAATCTGATTGTATGTATCGCTTCCGTACTTGTGAGCCCCCTATATTTATACTCTGTTGTGTGTGATTTTGAAAGTTGGCCTTCGGTAATCTCGGAATACTGGCCATCACGGCACCAAACTACTAGGGGCGGTTTAGGGTCGTGACAAGATTGTACTTTCTCTTCAGTGTTGCTTTCATCTTTTGCATCGAAATCAACTTAAACAGATTTATTTCTTGTGATACTCTAATCCCAGCTACTATCTTCATCAAACACCATGTTACGGCTAATGATTATTTTTCTGAGTGAGTAGATTAAAAAGTCTATATGCTTTGGATTCTTCACTGGCACAGAGCAACACACATTTCACCTCTTTACCATCAAGTTTGCTTCTCTTCTCGTCAGGTACATGTGAGTAGGCTAAGCATCCAAATATCCTGAAATGATTAATTGCTGGTTTGTGCCTTGTCCATGCTTTTTCTGGTGTCATGGTCTTTATAGAAAGTATAGGGCTTCTATTCAACACGTGAA